TTTGGTTGCAACCATAGTTGTTTGGTGGGCCTGGGCTGTATTTGAACCTGCCAGCTCAGGTCTATGTGGCTGGAGCCTTAGCTGCTTGAGCCACAGGGACCAAGCCTTTCTTTTTTTCTTTTTAAATATGGGATTTTACGTTTATTTTTTTGAGACAAAGTCACACTTTATTGCCCTTGGTAGAGTGCTGTAGCATCATAGCTCACAGCAACTTCCAACTCCTGGGCTTAGGCCATTCTCCTGCCTCAGCCTCCCGAGTAGCTGGACTATAGCCTCCCACCACAACACCTGACTACTTTTTTTGGTGCAGTTTGGATGGGGCTGGTTTGAAACTGCCACCTTCAGTATATAGGGCCAGTGCCATGTTCACAGAGCCACAGGCGCCACCCTGGATTTTCAATCATCTGTATCACATCTATGAAAGTCAAGTCTTCTTTCTTGTAAATTTTGACTTTCTTATTAACCTGTTGATGTATGTACAAAGTAGGGTAGAATCAGCAAATTCACAACTAGAGTTAGCATGTAGGGCAAAGTATATTATCAGTGGGACATGACTGCCCAACCAATAACTAGATACAAACACATTCATACACACACCTATTAAACTTTTAAGGCTGAAGTAACACAAGATTTCTGAGAATATATGTAGAAGAGATCAACAAGGCCCTAGTATGTGATATTCTAAAATGAGATGTATGTCCATTTTTAGAAGCATCTGCTCTGGTTGGTGGTGGCTGGAAATCATACACACTTTAAGAGTAATTCCATTTGAGAACTGAGATTTTAAAAATTATTTATTTAACAACTGGTACTACAAAGTGTTATCTATATGCTGAAAGAATAGATACATAGCTGACCTCAAAAGACCTATAATAAATTGGTAAGAAAATATACAGACACACATAATTTCCAAGGCAATTAAACAATAGTTGCACACTGGAACACCATCTAATTCAAATCTTAAGGTCAAATCAACATAAGGTTAACAAAAATAAAGGGTAAGCATGATGGTTCACCCCTGTAATCCTAGCACTCTGGGAGGCCGAGGTGGGTGAATTGCCTGAGCTCAGGAGTTCCAGACCAGTCCCAGCAAGAACGAGATCTCTTCTCTTAAAAAAAATTTTTAAAAATAGCTGGGCGCTGTGACAGGTGCCTGTAGTCCCAGCTACCAGGGTGGCTGATGCAACGGAATCACATTTTTCTTTTTTTTTTGAGACAGAACCTCAAGCTGTGGCCCTGGGTAGAGCGCCAAGACACCACAGCTCACAGCAACCTCCAGCTCCTGGGCTCAAGCGAGTCTCCTGCCTCCACCTCCCAAGTCTCCCAAGTAGCTGGGACTACAAGCACCCACCACATAGCCCGGCTATTTTTTGGTTGCAGCCATCATCGTTTCTTGGCAGGCCCGGGCTGGATTCAAACCTGCCAGCTCAGATGTATGTGGCTGGCCCCTTAGCTGTTTGAGCCACAGGAGCCAAGCCAACAGAATCACTTTAAGCCCAAGAGATGGAGGTTGCTGTGAGCTATGACACCATGGAACTCCACCAAAGATGACAAAATGTGACTGTCTGCAAGAATAAAAACATTTAACAAAAATGAAGAAGTATTTGAAGATGATCAAAGTTGTGAAGAATACAGATCAGCAAACAGGAAAAAAAGGTTTTCTAGGTAGGAAACTTATAAGTGATGAGAGGTTATAAAGTTTAAAAGTATACAGGGTAGGGAACAGTGGTGCACACCTGTAATCCTAGCACCCTGGAAACCAAAGTGGGTAGATTGCTTTGCACAGGAGTTAAGAGACCAGCTTCAGCAACATTGAGACTCCATCTCTACTAAAACTTGAAAAACTACCTGGGCACTGTGGTGGGTACCTGTCATCCCAACTATTTGGGAAGCTGAGCCAAGAGGATTGCTTAAGCCCCAGAGTTTGAGGTTGCTATATGGATGATGCCAAAAACACTCTAGCTAGGGCAACAGAGTGAGAGTCTGTAAAGAAAAAAAGACCAGAGGAGCGAGCTATAGCCAAGAAGCAGAATAAATTGATCTTATAGAATAACTTTATATAAACAGCAAAATGGAGAAATTAGGGTAGAAAAGAATCTATTCATCTTTTGAGAAGCACACAGTCTGATTATAGGATATATAACTAAGAAATAAGAAATAGTTCAAATTAAAAAAAAAACCTACAAGTTATTGAAATATGTAGTCCTTACTTTGTTCATGGTGGGCAAGTTATTCCCACTCTTTGAACTTATTGATCCAGGGGAAAACAGGCAGGTTCAAATAGATTAGTAATTCCAAGGGGAGACCAGGGAGAGCATCCTTATAAAGAAAGCCTAACTCAGAGAACCAGCCTTTAAGAAACTGACTGAGTCAGACTGGAAAGCTTCTCTTCAGCGTGAGTTCGCTGGTGGTGATTAAAGGTGGAACGCTGACTAAAGGCTTTCCCACACTCACTACATTCATAAGGTTTCTCTCCAGTGTGAACTCTCTGGTGCACAATGAGCTGGGAGCTGTCACTGAAGGCTTTCCCACAATCATTACATTTATAGGGTTTTTCTCCAGTATGGGTTCTCTGATGTACCATTAGGCTAGAGCTGTAACTGAAGACCTTTCCACACTCATGACATTCATAGGGTTTCTCACCAGTGTGAATTCTCTGGTGTATAATGAGGTGTGAGTTTTGATTAAAAGATTTTCCACACTCACTGCACTTATATGGCTTTTCACCTGTGTGAAGTCTCTGGTGTCGAATAAGACATTTACTCAGACTGAACGCCTTACCACACTCACTACATTCAAATGGTTTTTCTCCAGTATGAATTCGCTCATGGTCAGCAAGTTGAGAGTTCTGATGGAAGGCTTTCCCACATTCGTTACATTTGTATGGCTTTTCTCCACTATGAAGGATCTGGTGTCGAGTAAGGCATTTACTCCGACTAAAGGTCTTGCCGCATTCATTACACTCATAAGGCTTCTCCCCAGTGTGGATTCTCTGATGGTCAATAAGATTTCTGTTGGAACAGAAAGCTCTCCCACACTCATTACACTCGTAAGGTTGCTTACCACTATGAAGAATCTGATGTCGCATAAGACTTTTACTCCGAATAAATGCCTCTCCACACTCACTGCATTCGTAAGGTTTTTCCCCAGTATGAAGCCTCTGGTGGTCGATGAGTCGGGAACTCTGAGTGAAACCTCTTCCACAGTCACTACATTTATAAGGTTTCTCCCCACTGTGGAGTCTCTTGTGTAGAATGAGATGGGAGCTATGGCGATAGGTCTTTCCACACTCACCGCATACATAGGGTTTTTCCCCGGTGTGTGTTCTCAAATGAACGACGAGCTGAGAAGTCTGCCTGAAGGTCTTACCACATTCATTACACTCAAAGGGTTTCTCTCCAGTGTGGATTCTCTGATGGCCAATGAGGTGTGAACTCCGTTTGAAGGCTCTCCCACATTCCTGACACTGATAGGATTTCTTCCGTCCCTTTGGAGTTACCACATGTTCAGCAGGATTGGAGGACAGAGTTGGATTTTCCTCAACTTCCTTATATTCTTCACACCTGTATATTGTTGATTTTTCATTATCCTCATCTACTATTTCCAAAAAATCACTTTGTATTCTGTTCTCTTCTTCATCTAAGGGTTGCTCTTCCAGTTTTTTGAATGTCTCTTCATGGACATCTCCAGTCTCTAGTGCCCCAGGAACCAGTCCAAAGGGTACCTCCAATGTCCCATCAGATAACTCTGATACATTAGTAATTTCCTGCTTCAAAGTTAACTCTGAACTTTCCATCATGTTCTCACCTGCTTTCAAAAGAAGGAAGAAAACAATTATTATTTTTTTCTTCTCTGGTTGAGGAAACAAAATCAACAATGTATTTGGAAGAAAAAAAAAAAGGCAGGTTAAGACATGAGGTGACGAAGAGTAAGAAGAATGATTAAGAAGAGTAAATGGGGATCGGCGCCTGTGGCTCAAGCGGCTAAGGCGCCAGCCACATACACCTAAAGTGGCGGGTTCGAATC